AAAGGGGGTCTGCAATGTTATTTGGCCCTGGGATGTGGATCACTCTGAAGTCATATGGCTGTAGTCGCAATATCCACCTTTCTATTCTAGCGCAYGGCTTGGAACGGGGGCTGTATATTGCCTCCAAGGGCTTATGGTCGGTTAAGAGGTCAAACCGCATGCCATAAATGTAAGGGTGAAATTTCTCGCAGGCCCAGACAAGGCCAAGGGCCTCTCGCTCAGTTTGTGAGTATTTTTTCTCGCACTCAGTCAGGCTGCGGCTAGCGTAGCAGATTGGTACACAGTTGCCGTTTTGCTCCTGTACTAACACAGCGCCAAGCCCCACGGGGCTAGCATCTGCCACCACCTTCATGGGTGCTTGCTTGTCAAAATAAGCCAATGTGGCTGCCTTTGCTAAGGCTTCTTTAAGGGACTTGAAGGACTTCCTTTGGTCCGGGCCAAACTGGAAGGGTTCATCTTTCGTTGTCAGTCTTCTCAAGGGTTCTGACATGGTTGCAAATCCAGGGATAAATCTGCTGCTATGACTCACAAAGCCGAGAAAACTTCTCACTTCGGTGGCACTGGTTGGCTCTCTTGCATTTGTAACAGCTCTCACTCTCTCCTCAGTTGGGCCAATACCCTTTTCAGATAGCAGAATGCCTATAAACACTTTCAATGATTATATAAACAAACAAACAGTTGTATGAGTTATAAACACGTGACAAAAATGACATACATTTGTTTAACTGCCGTTTTCTTCGCTCAGAAATTGGTTCTGGAGTGGCAGCAACGTAGGTATAGATACTTTATTGAACTTGGCATTGGCCATCCCTTAAAGCTCTGGTACATGACTCTTCAAGGTGAGCCGAGCACAGCGAGGCTTACTTGCTTAATGGCTTCTGAAAATCATACCCATTACCCATTTCTACTGAATAGCTGGATCAGAAGGAAACTGATGCATTTTTGCATTAGGTGTAAAAGTGGTATTTTTACAGCTTCGCTGATTTGGAGCACCAGTGACACAATATCTTCCTCTTCTCCGAGTTGGTCTGTTCTCTGCCATTTTGTTTGCAAGAGTTAATTACCGAGAACGGAGGCAATAAGCCATATACTTCCCTGTGGCCCTTGGGATATATAGGCTTATTACTGACGTTCTCGGTAATTAAGTATTTTATTTATCAATTGAGAAGGTTTTCTATCAAATGTTGCTCATTATAAATAAGAGGTCTATATATAGTTATTAACTGGGTTAATAACTAACTATATACAGTCACTTCTCACGATTACGGACACCCTCGGGACCGTAATTTAGTATCCGCAATAGCGAGAGTCCGTAATAGCGGGGTGCGGGAAAAAAAACACTCATATTTTTCTTGAAATTGTTTAATTTGAATATATAACAACTATCACTATTGTTAATCACATAAAACAAGCAATATAGAATCAAAACTATGACAATTATTCTAATATTAAGCAAACTTTAACTTTATAAGATTGTATGAAAACTATGAATAGAATTAAAAGTTGCATGGTACAGTACTATAGTAGACTGTACTCTGACTCTTCTAATATTTAAAAAAGCTATCGATTGTGCTTTGGCGTGATTGTTTTTTGAGTGCACTTTCTGCTACTTTATTGCTTAAACTTGTAAACTCAGTAGCAATCGTAGTCAGCCCACGCTGAACAAGAAATACTTCAATATCTCTCACAGACGCCATCACATCACGATAGCTCTTGAGGCTTGTGGCTGGAGGGATCTCATAGTCGTTATCGTCATCATCGTTGTTGTTGTCATCATCATTTGATATGACTTCCGTGTCCACTGAAGTGTTTAACGAATCTAATAATTGCTGTTCGCTATCGATGCAGTATCAAATCGGAACTTCGTGATCTAATTGAAGATACATTTCTGAGTTAATGGCGCTTCCAGGTGCAACCTCTCAACTTAAGCACTCCAAGTCCTCATCGAGATCAGCAAAAGGATCTTCCTTCTCGTCTTGGATTTGTGCACCGCTTGAAATCCCTCCAGCAGTAAAACTTTTGGATATTCAGTGTAACCTAGCTTCTCGGCGACTTTTGTGGGAAATTCTCAAATCTTTGGACAGTCGACAGGAATTCGTTGGTCGTTTTTCTTTTTATAACACTCCCAGGCAGTGTCGTTTGGATCAGAGAACTGAGAAGTGCGGTTTCTTTTCTTGGGGAAGTCCCTTTTCAAATTCTTCTCTAACAGATTCCTTGTTTTTGATGATGTTACTTATTTACGTCTTCCCGCACGTGTACTTTTCAGCAAGCTTACATATCCACACAGAACCATTGCTATTTTCATATTCTTCAACAATTTGGAATTTCTTATTCAGAGACAGTTCATTCCTAGATCTTTTTGTTGATTTCTCTTTAGGCATGATACCTCTGTAGCAGAAATAAAGACAGCGGAAATAGAGACTAAAGTATGTAGGTGTATCAGTTGACGATCAATGCTAAAATAATGTAACTGCGAATGTGTGAAATCTGGTGACATCACTGAAAAGCAAGCATTGTTTGACAGCATTCTTCCAGTCACACTTACAGTAGTATCAGTAGAACAGAGATAATCTAAGCGTTATTCAAGCCATGGCTGATTAAGACACTAACGAAGAATTCAAGTCGTAGTACTCGTGGATGAGAGGACCCCACGCTTACAAAGATGTATTCCAGCCTCAGATAAATCAAACATTAACTCTTCAGAGAGAACCAGAAAGTGCAAAAGATAAGCATGCATTTGTAATAACGGAGAATAATGGAAGAATTGTTGGCCAAATTCCTTTTTGCTTGCAGCAGGAACATCACAGCAAATGGCTAGTAGTACAACTTTAATTTTCCAGTTGCCATCTGGAATAATCCTCTCATCGAAAATAACACCGTCCCATAAATCAGTCAACTCACTCACTAAGGGCTGAAGAAATGATGTTCCCTTTGGGCTCGTGGACCTAGAATGATGCCAACCACTAAGACATTTTGAAATTGAAATCTTTCTTGGTTTCTTTTGCCTCTGTGTCGTAGGACTTGATCATCGCGATATAGCCTGCTATGAAACTTACCATATCTAAAGAGTTTAAATCTGCACTACTTGATGACATACCTGGAACGAAGTCTTGGGGCTAGTCTATGGTCCGTTTCTTGGCATCTTTACCCTTGTTTTTTGTAGCTGTATCCCCAGGGAGTGTGGTACCTTGTTTTAAACGTAACACTTTCAACTCAAGCTGAAGTTTTTCTTTCTGCAATTTGTCAAGTTCAAGCTCAAGTTCAAGCTGTGCTAAGGATAAACGTTTGGTCCAAGTTGTTGTTCTTGAAGTAGTCGGAGGCGGTAGAGTAGGATAGTTTGCCTCGTCAATGTCGAGATCCTCGAGTTGATCAAGTTGTTCAAATAAGGTTGATTGTTCACGTGGTGTTTTTTGTTTTACGGTTGAAAGCGATTTCTTGGACATTGTTGGTGATTTGAGCTTGAAACGATATTGTCCTAGATTGTGCTAGATATTGTCTGTCGATGAGAGGATGTTTGCTCGGTTTGGTTTGGTTTGACAAAAGAGAGAAAGGGCTGGCTGGACTCCGCGGCTGGCTAGTGTGCGAGACTTAATGAGCGTGAGACATGGAGCAGGGAATGGAACGCAATATCTGGCCAGTTCTTTCTCTGGTAATCACCCATCATCACCTATGGTTATCATGGTACCATTATCACTAAATATACGACTCTACATTTGCATTTTGTATGCTTGTATGGCGGAAACCAATCCACATTTATCATCACTGCCAAATTTCTAATCTTAGAAAAGTATTTCTTCCCATCAGAATCAAGAAATTCCTTCCAGATTTTCCCTTCGTATCCATCCCCCATTTTATCCTCTTCAATTCCGTTCCGCCATTGTTCGCACTTTTCTGTGAAACCAGGTCCTGATAATAAAGACTTTAAGGAAGAAACCAGTGGCTTGAAACAATATACTCTCTTGGGCGAGAGATAAAGGGAACCAGATTTTTATCTAACTTTTTTTATTTAATATTATTTTATTTATTAACAAACATAAATTATGAGTACACATAACAAATAATACAAATAATTACAAATAGTGGTTACAGATGGTGCTACGTAGCAAGAGTGTTGTTGATATAGCGGACAGTTAAATTGAAGATGTTCTTAGGTAACTTTGACTGGGCAGTGGACCAAAGTTTATTTAGCTCCAGCATAGAGAATTTAAGGACAATAGAAAAGAAAGATCCTTGAACAGTTAGCCTGTTTAGTAGTTTATCCTCTTGTGAAGAATGGAAGTCTTTAAGAACTTCCTTTGTAGATTTGTAAATGTCATACTGAATGTTTTTGTCGTTACTATTTGAGTTCCAGAGATGTTTCACTGAGTCATTAGTAGATGTTTTTAAAGCTCTGCGCAAAACTGTTTGACATTGAGTGAACTTGATAGACRGAGGAACAATGTTCAGACCAAATTTGTTTTTAGGAAGGAAAAYATTACTCAGCGAGCCAGATACAGGAATATCTAGGCATTTACGAATATACTTGTTAACAGAAGAATCAAGATTTTCTTTAATCCAAGTTATGGAGAGGTCAGATACAGTAAAGTGCCAGAATATTTTGGAGAGCACGAAGCGATTATACAGCAGCAGTTTATTCTTAAGATGAAGAGGCTTTAGATCAATGGTGGACATCATATCATCTGTTTCGGAAATGAGCTCTGATTTGTGTTTTTGGTTTCACATTTCGAAATCAAAGTATCTGCCTAGGTAACGAAAAAAGTCATTGATGTTAACACGAGGAATAAGATCATTGTTGATTAAGAGTTTCGGAAGGTACTGGACTGATTTGGTTGAGCACTTTTTGATGCCAAAAGTAGAGCATTTGTCAACCCTAATTATCATATCCGCCCATTGACACCAAATAGACCGATCCAAGGTTAATGGACGCCATCTTGCCGGGGGTGCAAAATCATTGGGGCGAGCGCGCGGCCAACGCATGGCGGACGCATCGACGCATCATTATGCCAAAACATGCTCGCTGTTGCGTTGGTTATTGTGATAATGACAAGCGGTTTCCCAATCTTTGGACTGTAAGATCGCATGTTAAAGTCCTGAAGTTCCATAAGTGGCCAAGAACACCGCAATTAGCCGCATTGTGGCGAAAACAAATCGCCAAAGGTCGAGGTGATGACTTCGATCCAAAGCCGGGAGCGCARGGGACATTTGTCTGTTCAAACCATTTTCCCGAAGGCAAGAGAACACCAGATAACTCTAAAACCGACTATCCAACGTTATTTATTACCCTCAGTGATTTTTTGAAGGCTCAATCACCCAAAAAAAAAACAAAACTAGAGAGCGTTTAGAGAGCGAAAATTCAGTAAGTGACAAGTGAGGTGACAAATGACCATGAGTGTGATTCAAGGGACGAAGAGGATTTTGATTTTCAAGTTCCAATGCACTTTGAACAAATAACCAGGGAAGCAGACGTTAAGACATTTACTGGTCTACCGTCTACCAAAGCATTCAAATGTATTTTTGAATATTTATTGTCTAGAACGCAAAATATGCAGTACTGGCGCGGGCCAAAACAAACTGCGAAGGAAGCGCCGAAGAAAGCTCCTGGTCTAGTAACAAAAGGTGGCCCAGGCCCAGGACGCAAGCTAGACTTACAGCAAGAATTTCTGTTAACATTGATAAAACTTAAATTGGGCCTCATTAATGAAGACTTGGCATTTAGATTTATGGTTTCCTCAACTATGGTCAGCAGTGTTTTTATAACTTGGGTTAAACTGATGTCAAAAGAGCTTTCAGTCTTGATTATATGGCCAAGCAAACAATAAGTCAAGAACACACTGCCATCATGCTTCAAGAAACTTTATCCTAAAGTGAGATGCATTATAGATTGTTTCGAGTGTTTTACAGAAACCCCTAGTGGTTTAAGCCTTGCTGCTGCACTGTGGATTGAATACAAACATCACTACACATGTAAAGTATTGGTAGCCATCACCCCTACATGTGCTATTTCATA